GCCAACAGCACGTGTCACCCTTTCTGCTTCCAGTTTCCACGCCGCTCCCGTGTCCCTGCTCTGGACCTGGGCAGTGAGCTCCCGCAGGCACCCTGGCCAGTATTGGCACAGCATGGAGCACCGTGGGGGCCTGATCCACGCCAGGCCTCCACAGGTCAGACGCTGAGCTCTAACAGCAGAGCTAAAGCCCAACGACTGAAGGTTACCCACCGTTCCTCCTGCTGTAACACGCGTTCATGCAATATTGATTTCTTGGGGATAGGAAGAAAGAGCTTTGCAGTAGCTTAATGTGAATATACTGCTGATCAAAGATGGTGCATTGTAAGCAAGTATTTGGGTGAAAGCATATTGTCAGAGATCCTCCACAGCTCTAGATTTAAATAATTGTACTTCATGCTGGGAAGCATTAGAGATGAAAGCTCTGATTAGAACAAGTCCAGCACCACTGCTGCCTTTCATTCCTAATTAAACTGTTAAATATTATGTAGTTTCCACTTACAAACTATTTCACTAGCACAGCCTTTCAGTTTGTGTGGGCTCCATTTCATTTTCCACAAACAGAAACATTATAGGTCTGCAACAGAGTCATCTTCCCCATGAATGAAACTCCTTACATAATTAGGCCAAAACGCACGTTAGGTGACTGTGTCTGTGAGTCACTGCTCAGCACTACAAACACCCAGTATTATAAAACTGGACAGAGTAGACTGGAATTCATTGTTAGGCCTCTATGTCCTGGCAGCTGTTAGACAAATGTCTGGATTCAGACCTCAGTGAATTCAGCACATACTCTATATCTTACAAAGATGGATAAAGTCAATCCTATAAACCTGGCATAGTCAGAGACCTAACGAACGAATTCATCGCTTTGAGGTCAGCAAAAACAAGCCCTCAAGTCCTCAAAGGATGAACATTTCGCTTCTGCAGCCACTGCTCAACAGCTGAGACCAGAACTGCCAAGTTCTGGATTTCCCAGACCACATCCCCAGTTCTGGCTCTGAAGGGACCCAGAATGGAGCCACGTGCTCACACCACTGCCCACTGCTTTGCCTGGATTCAGGGCTGAACTACAGCCAGTACCAGTTCTGCCATCGGAAAGCCCAGTCAATGGATCAGGCAATCCCACACTATACCCTATCCTGCCTGTCCCTGCAGGTGCTCAGGTTTTGGCAGCAGATGCAGATTCAGCATTGCCCTGGTCCGTGGCCAGGCCACCTTTATGCTCTTACCCAGATAAGTCATTCTCTATCACCATTTTCTGCAGCCCCGCGGAGATGCTGTTGCCAGCATTAGGCGTGGACGCAGCGTGATCGGTCGTGACCGAGACCTGCACGCAGGCCGGGTTACTGAGTGCCGAGTTGACATCCCTCAGGATCCGAGGCAGAGGCCCAAGTTTTGTTGCAGTGCCCTGGGCAGAAAAGAGAGCAGAATTACTACCAACATCTTGTATTTTTGCTAGAGAACTGTGGGCTTTGCCAGCTGCTGGACAGTCTCTTCAGTGAATCACATTAAAAATATTTTCTCCATCATTTACCCCCACTGCTGAGGCTATGGGATGTCCCTTAGAAACTGCTGGCTGCTGTGGGACAGAGGAAGCAAGCGTGATTAACAAAGTTCAGATACAGAGGAGGACACCTATAGCCGAGCCTGGTCCAGGTCTCTTGACAAAAATCTTGTTAATTAAAAAGAAACCTTTTGAATCTACTGGGACAGACAAAATCCTGGTGATCAGCAGCTCTGCCTTCTCATCCCACCTGCCCCTCCATCCTCATCTCCCAGTGATAAACAGCAGAGGAGGGAAAGAGCTATACTCACCTGCCTTAAACAAGGATGTAAGGAATGAGCTACTTCTGCGGCATGTGCAAAGGCTGGGGAAGTGCTAAGGGTGATAACAACTGTGCTGTGCCCAGATATAGCTCATGGATTGACACCTGTTGGGCATGGGGAGGTGTGTGGGGTGGTACATATGCCCAGTACTGGCCAACTGGGCTTCCCCCAAAGCCTGTCCCAGCGATCCCCCCAGATACCTGCTCCAGTTGAGAAATGACCTCCCAGAGCAGCGAGTGCAAAGTGGACAGTTCCCGGCCCAGGTCAATGTAGCCTTCAAAGCCGGCTGTGTTTGAGATGGTTTCGGGATTGGAAATCTCCAGCAGAAATCTCTGCATATTAGTCCATTCGTGTTCCAGGAACTGATTCATAAACGACATGTATTCCTCTTTGCTGCCAAACCTATCGAGACAGCAAGAGGAATTTCAGCTAAATCCTGTAAACAGAAGTGCAGTCAACAGAACGGGTACGCGCATACGCAGGGAAGAATGCCAGAGCCTTCCTCTGGCATCTGAACCCTTCAAAGCCCTTGGGAGCCCCAGGTTGCCAGCAGGCACCTGGTACACCTCACTGATCATGGAATCAAAATTAACTCCAGCCTAGTCCAGCTAAGTCCTTGTCAGCAGGCCATCTCTGCAGTAGAAATGAAGGTGAAAGCTAGAGAAACAAAGCTGGTCTTGTTAATGGAGTGTATCTTACTGCTGGGTCAGGGCACAGCCTCCAGAAATAGGCCCTGTCACTGGAAATAAAGAAATCGCAGCGCCAAGCACCATCAAGTGGCTGAAGCCCAGTGAACGATGGCGGCTGGAATCCTGCACTCTCCCTGCTCTCCCACGGGCACAGAGGCTCACGCCAGCAGTGCCAGCCACTGCTGCCCCGGCACGACCGCTCTGGGGATCACCCTGCAGAGCCACTCTGCAGCTGGGCCAGCCCGTTTGTCCCCTTGGGCTGCCCACAACCTCCTTCCACCCTCCAAGCGCTCCAGCCAGACTTCGCTCTCAGTTCCATGTCTTATCTAGTGCACAACAGGGAGGGCCTCGTGGTTCCGCGGCACCAGCAGCGGTTGGTGCCGTGCCACTGCCAGCGATGCGGCGAGAGGCTTGGCTCCGCGCCGTCGGCAGGACAGCTCAGCTTGATCCCTTTGGCTTGACTAACGTCAGCTTAGGTAAAGAGTCTTTCCTGCAAAGTGCTGAAAATCTGAAAACCCTTTAGTTAGGGATCGGTCAGGAATATAGAGAATTTCTGTCATGAAGCGTAACACACTTGCATGTCTTCCGCCTGCGCGCGTGCACGCGCGTTCCTGACTGGGAACTAAGCTAGTTTCCAAATCTAAGAAGCTTTAGACAGAAACTGTCCATTCATGTTTCAGAAAGCTCATCATTTTGTTATCAGAGCTCAGGATAAGTAGCTCAGAGCTGCAGCCAGTGGAAAGATTTTCGGAAATCTCTCGCTTTGTTTCCATCAAACCAAGGGGCTTTGTTAGAACTTGAGAGCATCCACGTCCCCATCCTCCTTTCGTACCTTCCCAGTTCAGAAAACTGCATTTTAATAGCAGGGAAGGTCCCAGAGCTCACAGGAGGGAAAGCACCAGCTCCTGAGCTATGCACGCCATTGCTGGTGTTTGGGTTCTGGCAGGGTCTGCCAGGAGGCAGTCGGGCACCACCGCCAGCTGTGCCCCGTGCAGCCAACACGGGACAAGGGCCTGGCTGTGCCAGGGCGTTCCTGTGGCCACCCGCCCGCTTGCCGGGGCGCTCAGAACAGCCTGTTTTCCTGCTCATAAAACATGTCCTGTTTTGGAAACTCAAATGATCTCCCTGACCCAACAGTGAGGGAACGGGTCCCAGAGAGACGGGGGAAAAGGCCAACAGGAAACAAACAGGCGCTTTCCATCGAGGAGAGGACTCCCGATGCCGGAGCCACGGCTCTGCCTACACCCCGAAGTCTCCTTCCCCTTCTCCAGACCTGCCCCCTCCCGCTCCCGCAGCCTGGCTCACTTGGCGAAGTTGGCGAGGTTCTGGGTGACCTTGGCGATGAGGGTCAAAGTGCGCGCGGTGCGGTCATCCGGGTACTCCTGCAGGAGGCTGAAGAGGGACGGGGACATGATGGCCGGGCAGAGGAACCGGAGGAACAGGGAGGCACTGATCAGTCGCTCACTGATGTCTGGGCGGCCTCGGTTGCTGCATTCTTGTCTCCATGAGGCAAAAACTTCTTTGAGCTCCCTTGGGAAGACACTGAAACGACAGAAGGACACGCAGGGATGGCAAGTTCAAGGCCAGAGCGTTCCAACTGCCACACAGCAGTAACCAAACCTGGTGTGTATCAGCCGCGGGGCGCGACACCCAGACCTGAACAATGGCAGAGCACCCCACGCCTCCCGACAGCACCGCCAGCCACACTAGTCACAGGCTCTCGTCCTTCTTTTTTGCTGAGTGTCCGACGGGAGACTCAAACCACACAGGAAAAAGCAAACCTGCTCCGTAAACTTGTAAGAGAAGCAGCTTTCATCAGACTAATGTTCCTGGTTGTGCTGGGTGCCAGAGTCCCAGAAAACTGGGAAGACAGAGAGATGAAACAAACTGTGCAAAGTAGCTCATCACTTCTGTTGGCTGCATCACAGGGCACTTCAAACTGGGGGAGGCTCAGCCACAGAGGTGGAGAGTGTCTCCTGGAGAAACACGACATCGTGAGACCCACCAGCAAACACCAGCAGTACTGGGATCACCAGCACGGCTGGAACTTGAAGGGAGGGGCTGGGCAAATTGTAATACTCCTGTTCAAGCACCTGGATCAAACCCCACTGTGACTAGTGCAAACGTGGAGCCCCACCAGTTACTCCAGCCTTGTAACTGCACAGACCTCAGCCTGGCTTTCCTGGATGCCACAATCCCCCCGGGGCCAGCAAACACTTGCCACAGCAGCCCTTATCGCTGGGAAACTTGCTGCCTGTTTGTGCCTGGCCATCCCCAGCTCCCTGCTCCCACCTTATCCTGTTCCCAGCACGTGTTATTTATTCAGTGGGACACTCCCACCACGGGAGCAGGCTGGTGGTGGGTCCCTGGCACTCAGTTCCCCACCCATCCCGGAGGCTGCCCTGGCCAGCAACCACCCTCTCTGTTTCCAAACCAGAGCTGTTCACCCACAGAGCAGGACGGTACAAAAGCAGACTGAAGAGGGGTCAGAATCCATTTTAATCTCCTTAACAAACAGCTACTGCGGAGGACGGTTTCCCAGTTCTGCTGCAGGGACTGTCTGGGAGAAGCAAAGCTATGCCAGCTGGCTTCCCGCTGGCCTGCCCCCGCTCTGGGACGTACTGCCCTGCGGCCCAACCTCACACGAGCCAGGAAGAAGAGAAAACCATAGGGGTGGCATGGCCAGAGATGCCATCCATGTCCAGCAGCAGCAGCAAGAACCAGGCGGGAGGCTCCGCACTGGAGCAGCACTCAGCGCGATGAACTCGCCCGTGCACGCTGTGCCCACGGCAGCACGGCCAGGTCTCCGGGCAGATACGAGGGTGCTCCTCCTGCCGCTGGCACTCCCCGGCCTCCGGCCTCTGCTTCCCAGTGCTGCGGACATGCACTTCATCAAGCCCAACTGACCGTTCCTCGCCGCAGCTGCCGAGTTCAGGACCTGTGGTGTTGGTGGTCCGCCAGCGTGGCATGTGCCCCCACCTCTGCAGAGCCCTCACCCCTCGTTTCATTACTCTGCCAGCTGCAGACTGCACTGCCCGGTGCATGCTCCCGGTTTAGGGGTGCTGCTGTTAACCCAGCCAGCGGGCACCCGCTGCACTGCCCACCCCGGGCAGCCCCTCGGCACGGCACTGCTGCGAGGATGGGCCCACGTAGCTGCGCTCCGCGTTTTCAGGTTCCTCTCCCACCTTCTGACATGGGCTGTGACGCTCCGTGGACGAGCTGGGCAAACACTACCATCACGTTCAGCTTCTGCTCTGTGTTGGCTTCGTGCTTTTGCTTTTTCTACCCTGTGCTTTATAAATAACATTAACCAACATCTCTGGCTGGATAAATTCTCCTCTTTGGCTTGATCCACACAATTGGACAAAGCCCTTTTACTTCATGGTATTTGCCCAGAAACAGGAGAATCCTTTGAGCAATTTAAGGCTTGAATGATCAGGACAGGTTGTACAGTTACTGGAAAGTAAACCCTTGGAAACGGCTGTACCGGCTGCACACAGCCCGTGAGGACTGTTCACTACCGCAGCCTGGAGACCATAAAAGTTTAATTGTGGAACAGCGGACGGAATTCAGTTAGCTGGCTTTATGTGACAAACGGGCCCGTAATTCATTACCCAACCTTCCAGTAACGAGCTTCCACATGCTGAAATTCTGCTTACACTGAAACTTTCCAGATGTCCAAATTATGTCATAATTATAACAATTTTCAGTTATTGTAAACCTCCTTCCTCTCTCTACTCTCTCCGGCAGATGAGCGTGCACACTCTGGCGCTCTATTTAAAGCAAGATCGTGAGCTGTCAGGATACCTTGGCCAATCCCAAACACTCGTCAGCCCAATTAATCCCCAGGAACCGCTGAGCACAAAGGATCGAGGGGGAACCACTCAGAGCAGCAGCTCCGCTGCTCCAGCCTTCCTCGGAAAGGCAGGACTGGAGGAACAAGCTTCCCGTGCATGCCTGACTTTCCTTAGGTCACTTTTCAAGCCTGTTTTTAGAATGACCTTTTAGTGGTGCTTTGGGTATTTTTAGGAAGACATTAATTCAAACAATTATAATCCACCGGTGACTAAAAGCAGTGAATCGCTCCTGGGAAAGCAGGCAAACGCCATTCCTGAGTCAGAGTTATTAATTGGCCCAGGATAAGGTACAGGATACCTGTAAAGAAATCTGCCCTTTGCTTATTTGTGGTAGATAAAGGAAGTCTGAGTGAGCCTCTCACTGCTGCTTCTCTCCCCCAGCAGTATCAGGAAAAGCAATTCCCTTCCTGGGCTTGCAGGAGGCCACGCTCAGTATCCTGGGAGATTACCCAGAATGAGTTTTCAGATCTCAGTACAACCCCTGGGATAGGGGGGGAAAATGAGAAGTCTTAATTATCAAAGACTTCCTTCCTCCAGTGTCATCCTTTGCTGATGTTTTGCAACAACAGCATTGCTACTAAATACATTAATAAAAACTAAGCCCAGACTTTTAAGCAAGAAGACTGCAAATCCAGCAGTAAGACTAAAAGGATCGTTCTCTCATATGATCAGGACAGGAGTCTCTGGGTATGTCATCAAGAAGCAGAAAGAAAGTATTTTTATTTCTCCAACAGAGTCCTAAGCCCATTTTTTCCCCCTTTCAGGTCACCTTTGCAGGCAGCATCCGTAACAGACCCACGGACTCCCAGTCCCCAGGGCCATGAGCACAGCTATGCCTGATAGCCACTGCAACGAGATATCACGACCTTACTCCAATTAATTTTCCATATCCAGGCCTGTCCCAACTAGCTGCAAGAACCTTTACCCCGAGAACAACCAACTAGGAAATGCCTCAAACTGCATACCAGGCCTTGGGCCAAGGAGGCAATGGGCTCCTCGTTCCCATCTCTGCAAGCACCCTGGGGCTGGGAGAGAGGGGTTAACCCGGAGGAAAGCGGGATGTTGAGCCAAACAGCAACCCAGGAGTAAGAGCAGTATCCTCTCTGGCTCCTGCACTCTGCAGCAAGAGCACACCTGCCTAACCAAAAGCTCCCCGTGCTGGTGCGGCTTCCTGGCAGGCAGGAGCAGTGCCCCAGACCCTGCCTGCTCCAGGGCAGCTCAAAACCTCACCTGATGCTCTGGGCAGGCAGAGCCCGTCAGCCTGAGCCAGACTGCATCATCACATGGGTAAGGGACCCAGGATGTGCATTTCTGCCCTTTGTTCCAGACTTTTGTACGCAGTTGGCATCGAGTCCCTCCGAACTGTCACACTGGCAAAGGCATTTTGTGTTCCTTGACTCCGCTGCCCTGTGTCCCGTGTCTGTGCTCCAGAAACCCTTCATCACCCGCTGAAAACACGTGTGACGGGGAATCGGTGAGGCTGTTGCACCCCCAGAGCAGATACTGCAAACTCTGGCTGAGCGGGAGCTGCTGTCTCAGCCCTTGGCCATCCTCACCCTTGCTCCTGCACCACTGGAAAGCCCTCACGTGCCACAGGACGCGGGCACGGCCCCCAGCTGTGCCTCCAAAGCTCTCCAATGAGTTGCCCATCAGCGCAGCTTAAGGGACTGGTACCAACAGCCTGGAGATGGGTGGCTGCCACCCTTGTCCCCTGCAGCTGTGCCACCTCGGCGCTGGCTGAGGGCACAGGGAGGGGAGCGATGCTTGTGGGATACCCACCAGTAGGAGTTGATGATTTTGCAGAAGGCCAGCTCGCAGCACATCTTCAGGTTGCTCTGATGTTCAGGAAGGTCTGAAGACGAACACTTACTGGGATCCACCTCACAATTTTCATCCGATTCGTACAGTGCCTTGATAAATTCCCCTGTAAAACAGACAGTCGGTGATGGGTTTTGGGGACATGAGAGATGCAGCCTTCGAGCAATTCTTTTGGTAAGCCCCTGTGCCCGAGCAGCTCACCTCCACCTCGTGACACTGCCCGGGCAGAAGCCGTGGTGGCTCCCAGGGTGGGCTGTGCCCCAGCCAGCTCTCCGGCCGAGCGGACCCAGGAGCAGCCGGTGCTGCCACGGGAGCTCACAAAACAATACAGCACATGTTGGAGAAAGGCACCTGGACTCCCAACAAGCACGTTTCATCCCTCTTCCCCAGCTGGCAGCTCTGCCTCGGTGGCTATGGGCTATTGCATCAGAACTCTGCTGCCAAAGCACCCGCTTCCTCGGCCTGCCCCGACTCCCATTACACCAGCTCCAGAGACGCTCCCTCGGGCTACTCCGGTAGGAAGTATGCTGGCAAGTTCTGTAATTATTTGTAGGATGGCTGCTACTGCAGACTGTGTCCTGGCGCTGACGAGCCAGTGTGATTCACAGGAGAAATAGGTAATTAAAGGAAAGAAACAATTTACTTGGTTTATTTTGAGCTGAACATCACACAATATTAAATTAAAGTATTTCTCTCGGTTTCCCTGCACTCCTGTTTGCTGCCTGGCTGCTCCTCACCCGTGTGGAGACTCACACGGTGGGCTGAACCCCCAGCCCCTCGCTCTCGTGCCTCCTTTCACCCCGGGGCACCTGGGCACAGACCCTGCTGCCTGAGCTGAGGATGCTTCCCACCGCCTCGACACATGTCCAGATGGGAGGGGGGCAGCCATCTATCCCAGTTGGCACCCAGCCGTGGCTGGGGGGATTGGGGGATGAGATAATGGGTATTAAGAGGCAGCTGGGGACCTCTGCGAGAAAGGTTCACTTTGGTTTTCTTCTAATTCCAGCTGGTTTGCTCATCTCCTCATTCCTGACCATCTTGGATTTTCCCATCCTCTTGTTTTTTGCCTGCTCTAGTCCGCATTCCTCCTCTACTGCCAAAACAGATTTTAATTACGTACTGGAGAGCCTCTCCAATGTATTTTCGGCCCTGCCAGGGAGCGCTGGAGCCTCTCTGCTCGCCCGCAGGTGATGCCCGCTGTTATTATCCGGCCCCATTTCTCGCTTGTGCTTCATGGTTTAACGGAGAGCGCCACGCCGGCCTGTGTCACCTCGTGACACGCAGATGAATCATTTCACTGATAAAAGGTCTGCACAGAACCAGGGCCCCAACAGCGAGCGAGCAGCGCAGGCTCCTCCTGTGCTAGATGGAGCGGGCTCGGCAGCGCCTGAACTGAGCCCTGAAAGGGGAATATTTCAGCATTCTCTGCGTTCATTAATCTCCTGGCTTTTTAGAAGTTTTATGAGGTAATCTACTTACAGACTTGCCTTCAACCAGAAAGCATTACAAGGCAGAAATCAGTAATATTCCTCTTCCTATTCTTGTGGGCTATCTGTTGGTTTGACCGAATTTGCTCAAGGATCTCCCCTTCCTCGACGTTGTCATTATTATTATTATCTTAATAAAGTATTTATGCTTCTTTGCTCCTTGCTAAAATTACACAAATCCACTAGTTAGGAACCCAACATACTGGAAAATGAACACCTCAATAGAAACTCTGCTCATCCCACTGCTCGGATGCGGATCCAATCTCGCTGCCTTCGGCTGAGGCTCAGCCCAACGCTCCAAAGCCATCCTCCCCCCGGCCTCGCGCTGCGCCGGCTGCACTCACCACCGCAGCCCTTCCTTCCTGACCTGCCCAGAAGCACAAGTTCTAATTATTTTCATTTGCATCAAGAGAAATATTTTTGGAGCCATAAGCATAGCCAGCACTTAAAAAAAAAACAAACACCAACCCAGCAGGAGGGTTCCCAGCACACTCTGGGAGGCAGCTCTCATCACCGGGACTTGGG